AAGAAGGGAAAAGAAAAAATATGAGAAAAGGAAAAAAATGGAAACAAAGTCTTTGCAAATAGGAAAGGGTGGAGGGGGTGAAAGGAGGGCAGGGGAAGGGGAAAAAAATAAGAACCAAGATACTCATGTAATGGTACAAGATCCCAATGATGAATGTAAACTGTATTTTATACCTAAAATGTACCAATAAACTTAATGGGGGAAAAAAGTGTTTGAGCCAAGGCACAGTACTAGTCTTCTTGGGGTAGCCCAAGCTAATGACTGAGCAAAACTCTAGCACAAGGACCTAACATTTCTTCTCCAACATGCTTCAGAGTCCCTTGGGCTGACAGACATTGTCAGATCTACCTCATGATCTGGCAACTCCCTTTCCTGAATTCTCTCTTCTCCCTGCTCCTTTCACACACCCTCCAATAAATATTGTGCCCTCCTAAGTCTGTATCAGCATCTATTTTGCAGAGGACCTAGCTCAATCAGGTGTGTGTTGGTCACTCCAAGCATCCTTCTATTATGGAAGCAAACAGGTATCTTAGAACTGCTTTGTGCCAGTACCAGAAGAATGTATAATCACTGTAGCTGCTAGGGGATCAGGAATATTTTCACTTTGGCACATGAATCAAATAAGTCTATGTTTCTTGTTATTCTTCTTGGCACTGAGTATGCTTTGGTATTATGTAATATGACTAGATTATCCCACTGGATTTTTCCATGAGTGACATGTTTAATTAAGTGACAGTGTGATTGAGGACAAGGTCACTAAGTACATTTCCAATTAGTCAAATTACGTGGTTATAAATAGACTGTTATTGTATATGGACTCCGTAAACCCCTTACCAACTTACTTATCTACCTATGATAGCTGAAGATAAAACAGCGTGAAAATACCAGTGACTAGATAATTGGTTGAGGGAGAACTAGGAACGATCACATAGGGGGATGGGATGACTTTTTAAATAAGCTGCAGCTCCTAGGTTCATTGCCTTTCCCCCACCTCCTCCCTCAACATCAGCCTTTTTCTGGTTTGGGGCATCCATTAGTCTAAGGCAGGAATGAGTCATAGCTTCTAACAACCCAGCCGGCACCACAGGATCCCAAGGCGCAATATTGCTCACACCTGCAAGGCTGTTTCCTCATGCTTTCCACATCTCCACACCCTCCCTGACATTCAAGACCCTACCTCAAGTTCCCCTTTGTCCAGAAAGCATTCTCTGAGCCCACCTAGCTATGCTAAGGTTTTTATAGGCATTGTCCCACTAAATTTCTACAGCCATCTATTAGGCAGGTATAATTATTCTCATTAAGAGGTTAAAACCTGTCCACATGGCTTCAAAATGACAGATATGAGGATGAAGCCCAGTTCTGCATGACTCCAAAGCCTGTGGCCTTAAGCACTTTCTACACGATGCCATGCATTGCCCACTTTATTGTAGTCTGAACTTGGTACCAACTCAGTTGGGTCATTTTATATCCTTATAGAATTAAGCATATAAAGTATTTCTCCAACTCACTGAAGGTTATTTAAGGAAGGGAATGACACCTTGTTCTCCTGTTCTCTTATGAGCCCCTGGAATAGAATTATGTATGATTAAGTACTTGTTCATTTATTTTTTTTTTGTATTAAATTCTTTTATTGGTACATTGTAGGTATACAACACAATTACATTTCTCATTGGGAATTGTACCTTTATATAATGCATCTTGGTTCTTATTTTTTCCCCATTCCTAGCCCTCCCTTCACCCCCTCCACCCTTCCCTATTTACAAAGACTTTATTTACATTTTTTCCATTTCTCATCATTTTTTCCTTTCCCTTCTTCCCTTTCCCCTGTGCCTCCCACTACCCCTACCCCTTTGGACCTTTTCTTCCTATTTTACATTATCGATTATTCATTCTAATAATTGGTACATTTTAGATATACAATATAAGGACATTCATCATTGGAAATTTGCACCTTTACATAGTCTCTCTTGGTTGTTTTTCACCCTTGCCCAGCCCTCCCTTCAACCCCTCCAGCCCTCCCTATTTACAAAGATTTTGTTCCTATTTTTCCATTTTCTCATATTAATCCCATTCCCTTCTATCCTACTTGTTCATTTATTATTGGAGAGGGAAAGCTTTAGTGACTGAGTTCAGAAAATAAGGGAAAGGAATTAAAATGTACTGACTATCAGACACCTTACTTTAAAGACATTATTTTATTCAACGCTATTTCAATGCTTTGTGATAGGTCCTACACAGCAGCCTCGGTACAGATACTTTGTTTCTTATGATTATAGAAACTGAATAACTGAACTAATTCTCTACCCCAGATAAGTGGTAAAACAGATTCCCCCACACCTTCTATAGTTATACCCTATTTCTGCCACACATAATTGGCTTTCCAGTTCCAAATCAGATGCACAGTCTAATCTGTTTCCAAATGGCAGTGCTTTAGAGCACTCACTATTTATTTTGTGAATGTGCTTTGAGAAATATAAGGTCAGTAAATGCATCCAAAAGAGGTGAGATTGCCAAGTTTCAAAAGGGCACAAACAGTCCTTGGCCTCATACCGATGAATGAAAATATATTTCGCAGAGAGGGAGGAGGAACGGTAAAAATCCGTAGACCAAAAACCTGGACCCAGAATGGATATAAAGCCAGAAGAGCTGGGGAGGGAGCCGTTGTTGGGGAAAGGCTCACCTCTGGCAGCTGTGGGAGAGACAGTTTATCCCCTAGCAAGATGAAGCTGCTGCTTCTGTGCCTGGGCCTGACCCTATTCTGCACCCATGGGGAAGGGAGTGCTGTCGTGAGAAGCAACTTTGACCTGGAAAAGGTAGAGTCATGAAGCACAACAACTGCTGATTTTGAGGGTGGTTTGGAGAGTCTGAAGCCAGGTGGGTCCTAATAGAGGGCAGGAGTTCTTCAACAGACAAAAGGAGTGGTTTCAAATCTTGAACTAAGAGAACTAACTGTACCATGTTAAAAGATGACAGCGCTTGGGGACCTCCATTCTCACTGCAGGGACAGCGGGAAGGGTCCCAGATGTTGTACCAATTAACCCCAGTTCTAACTTCAACTTGGCACCATTATGAGTGCTGCCCACAGGCCAGAGTTCACAGAGAAGCTCTCAGTGTGGTGCCCTCCCTCCTCTCTTCTGACTTAATCGTCATTTTATTTATTTATTGCAGATTTCAGGAAAGTGGTATTCTGTTCTCTTGGCCTCTGACAAAAAGGAAAAAATAGAAGAAGATGGTAGCATGAGGGTTTTTGTGGAATTCATCTATGCCTTGAAGAACTCTTCCATTTTCTTTAAATTCCATATACAGTAAGTGTGGCCATGTGCATGTATATGCACATATGCTGTGTCCCTCTTCTGTACTAATCCAAGATTTGATAGACGGGGATTTTCAAGATTCAGAGACAAGAACTGCTTACAGGAATAAATTTATTGGGAGTGAGGGGAAGCAAGGAATGCCAGAATCATTACTAATGTGACAATGTAGCATAGGCTAAGGCATGGAATTTGGAATCAACCACCTGACGTTGAACCTATCTCTTACTAATTTGCCAAGAAAACTCATTGCCTTCTACCTTCACTTTTCTTTGGATAAAAAAGGTGATAATAATTTTCCTTCATGGTTTTAGTGAAGAGCAAATGGGGTAATGCATGTAAAGCATTTATTTGAGAACCTAACAAATGGTGCACACTCAGCAAATGACCTAGCCAGGGATGGCGAACCTTTTAGAGATGAGTGCCCAAACAGCAATCCAAAACCCACTTATTTATTGCAAAGTGCCAACACTGCAATTCAACCTGAATACTGAGGTTTTAGTTTAGAAAATACAACCCATACATTAACAACTTTGTCTAAAACAAATAAGATTTGTGCCACAGGTTCACCACCACTGACCTAGACAAATGGCTGTAGTAGAATAACAGCAATGATGGGAAGAACTGATAGAAGTAATGACAGGGAGCAATTGCTTAAGTCATTCTTAAAGTATCAAATTAAGGGAAATAATTGTAAGTAAAAGCTGTTTGGTAATTGTGCAAATAGAAGTTCAAAGCCAGGGATGGTAGTGCACACATGTAATCCTATTATTTGGGAGGCTGAGGCAGGAGAATTGCTGTGAGTTTGAGGACGCCGACTATGTACTGAGTTCAAGGCCAGCTTGAACTACATAGCAAGACCTTGTCTCAAAAAAAAGTTTGAAAGCTGAGTAGAATCAGAAACTGAAGTTATGGGTAAAGTAAAGGGTGAGGGAGTCAGCCTCAGTGATACCTCCTTGACATCAGTTCATTCTCTTTTACAGTGTAAATGGAGAATGTACTGAATTGCCTTTGGTTGCAGACAAAAAGGGTGATGGTGTATATGCTGTTGACTGTAAGTATACTAAAAAATGTTTTCTAAATTATATTCCCATCTGCAAAGAACTTACTAAACCCCCCAATGTTTTCAGGACCTTGATCAATTCCTGATGAAAATTTATTTTGGTAATAAAATGGGGGTCATTTAATAACCAACATCCTGAATTTGGGAGACACATGTATTTGCAAAAGCTAATATCCAGCACATAGTACCATCAGATAAAGAATGCTGTTTGGTCATATGTACCTTCTGCAACAAAAGAAAAAAGCAGGGGGAAGAAAACAAATTGGTGAGATAGCTTCTCATTTCCTGTCATCTGTGTGATTACGTCTGGAGTCCATTGCCACAAGCACATTCCTCAGGATGTAGCACCAGATATGTGAGGCCAGTAGACTTTTAGAGAGGACAGAGATGCATCACTAAAAGAGAGGCTGAGGGAGGTGGCTAGGTCTCACAGAAGATGATAGAAGGTGGATTGCTACTGTGGCAGTTTTTTATACTAGTGGTCAATCTCTCAGGCTCCCTTAGACATCACCTCACAAAGTCCAGAGGGGTGCAAATGGAAGGCATTTGCTGTCTTTCCTCTCCTTCTCTTCCAGATGCATTTGAATTTGTTTTGTGGGATAAAACAGGTAAAGGGTTTCTATTGCTTCCTATGGACAAAAGAAGTTCTGAGCTGAATTCTGTTTGCTCCACAGATGATGGACACAATAAATTCCACATAGTTGAGACAGACTATGATAACTATATTATATTTCACCTCAAGAATGTCAACAGTGGGGAAACCTTTCAACTGCTGGAGCTCTATGGTAGAGTATTTTTCTGCTCACATTCATCTTCTGGTGGGAAGAAAGGAACTCTTCTTCCAAAATGGTCTTTCCAATCTTTTCCTAGACTATCTCTCTCTCACTGAAGATAGACACATACCTTTGATAATCCCTAGGCTCAGTGATGAGAAAATGATGAAATCTCTCACTGATAACTCACTGATGTCAAATTCAGGATAGGCTGTATCCTACCCACAAGACTTCTATCTGAGCACCCAACTGTTCCCATGCTTTCCATGCCCTTGAGGAGCCCTGTCCCTTCATTCACTTTGACAACTAATACACAAGACACAGCAGTCACTGTCACTCTTCCCACAGGCCGAAAACCAGATGTGGGTCCAGAACTCAAGGAAAAGTTTCGAGAATTTAGTCAAGAAAATGGAGTTGTTCCGGAAAACATATTGGACCTGACCAGTGTTGGTAAGTTTAGCTATCTGGCTTTCTTTTCCTGTGTTCCATGTCACAGAAGGGAGAAATCTAAGGGAGGGTAATCAGTCCCCTTTGTCCCAAGCTGAAGACCTATCTGATTTCTCTTGGATAAAGAAACTGGAGCTGCTGTCTGAATGTGTTCTCTTCTTCCTCTGCAGATCGCTGTCTCCAGGCCCGAGATGAAAAGTAGCCTAAGCCTCCGGGTGTGTGGCCTCTGACCCTGGTGAGGAGGGAATGGGCCACGTGTCACTGCCTTCTAAATGCATTAGGGGTTTGTGCCCAAAGATCACAATAGAAATAGTTTGGTAAGGAAGATTTTGGGTTGAGTTTGAAGTTCAGAGTTGGAGGAGCTAGGTTCAAGACCCAGTCCTACCATGATGTGTACTTCAGAGTTATTGTGTGGATGTAATGTACATGAAAATGCCTCAGTGGTTGATAACATGTTAAAAATCATTAAGACTTAGTTTGAAATGGAAAGAGAGCAATAGAGCACTGTATATGAAACTGAAATATATGTGAATCTGTATTGTTGTTCATTTTCCAGGCCCAGGAGTAGGATATGTCTCTGTTTAATTGATGATAAAAATTCTTCCTTTCAACTGTGAACATCCATGAATTCTTATCTGGGAATGGAGCTGTCAACCTTCCCTTTGTCCACCAAGTTTTCTCATCTGTCTCCTACATCAGATTTATTGTGGGGCTTCATTCAGATAATACGTATGAAAGTTTTAGAAACTTGCATAGAATAAGCATTTAATAAAAAGTAGCTATGGTTTTTGTCATTCTTCCTCAATTTGTCAAAAATTCTTCAAAAACTTCTTATGCTGAAGATGGCAGAAACAATCCGAGGACTCTTCATTACTTCCTTTCTATTTTCCATGGATTCAGTTGAGGGAAGGTTCAGATGACATTAGCAACAGAAGAAAAGTGATTAACTTCCTCCCCTATTCTGATAAATAACAGAAGTTAGAATGCAAGATGAGCTCTTCACCGTTTTTCTTTGTAGCAAAATTCCTCCTTGTCCTCAATTCAATCCCAGAACAGTTCACTGTGGTTCCTATGTTCTCTTTGTCCTCTGCTTATTTAGTGCTGAGTGAATGCTTCCCTACCTGGACTCCAACATCATCTCTTCCTCATCTCTGTGCCATATCGTGACACATTCTGTGACCTGATTACCACCACTCTCACATATGAACCTGCATCTCCAGACCTTCACCCTACATCTCCAGATCTTCCCTAATTGCCTGGAAATGTTTATCGATTCACCATCAAGCAAAGGTGTTCTCTGAATTTCTCTGATTGCTATACCTAGGGCAACTGTATACAAATAAGATCTTCCCCTACCTATTCAATAAATAATTAGCCTTGCAGTGTTGTGATTTGTCTTTGTATCTGGGAGAAAGTCGGGCTGACAGTAAGTGAATAAAGGCACGTCCTGGGCCCTGCACCTATAATCCTCCCCTAATGTCTCAGGATCGACTCTGAGTTTCAAGAGTCTCCTCCTCTCCAGTAATCTCTGTTATCCCATGTTCCCGTGAGTCCCACATGCCTTTTGATCTGCCTATTCTTTAGTGACCTGATGACACTATGATATATACCATACAAATACAAGACTTGCTCCACAATTTCTCCCTCCTAGAATTCTCTTTTCCAATGGGGCACTGAGACATAGATGCTTCTGGGGCTGATACCAGCTCAATGTGGTTCAGGACAGGCCTCGTGCAAAAAAGAATGCCTCAGTCATGAGCATAAAGGTTAATAAAAGAAGGTTATTTGGGTATTTGAAGCTCTCCATATCTCACTCTGCCCAGATCAGAATACTAAACTAGGTTCAGGAGTATTACTCCTGAATCAAGTAGTTGGACTACTTTGCCAAAATACGGCAAAAGACTATTTAGAAAGCCAACAATCATGCTAGAACCTTGTTTTTTCTTCTTTTTTCCCCATGAAACAAGGTCTTATTATGCTGCCCAAGCTGGTCTTAAACTCCTAGGCTCAAGTGATCCTCCTACCTCAGGCTCCTTAGAAGCGGGGACTCTAGATCCATGCCGTATTTGGCACCGGTGTGCGCGCGCGCGCGTGTGTGTCTATGTGTGTGTGTGTGTGTGTGTGTGTGTGTGTGTGTGTGTGTGTGTTACTGGGGATTGAAACTAAGGCCTTCACATTAAACTACATTTCCAGCCCTTTCTCATTTTTTATTTTGAGATGGGTTCTCACTAAGTCACTAAATTGCCCAGGCTGTGCTGGAACTTGTGATCCTCCTGCCTCAGCCTCCCAGAGTGCTGGGATTAAAGTGTGCACCACTGTTTTCAGCTTGGCTTCTCATTTTTTAGAAGTGTTGGCATTTAAGGGATAGAAAAGCTGATACCCAGAGATACTCGGCCTAGCCCACCCATGGGAATTCTTAGAAAATAAATAACAGGCTGAGGATTTAGCTCAGTGGTTCCGGGGCCTGCCTCACAAGCGCAAGGTCCTGAGTTCGATCTCCAGTACCAAAAGAAAAAAGAAAATAAGTAACAATGACAATCAAGATGATGGGAAATGGCTAGGCAGTATCATATGTCAGAAAACTACAGCCTACAGAAAGGCACAAAAAGACATGCCTATTCCCAGATCAAGATGGCAGCTTAAGCTCACACAGAAACCTATACTTTTAGTTCTAAATATTGTGCAAATGAGACATAAAATACTAAGGACACTCAAAGATGAGGTAGTAGACTGGACATAACACACTTTGTCTTTTTTTGTTTGTTTGTTTGTTTTCATACCAGGGATTGAACTCAGGACCTTGTGCCTGTGAGGTAGGCGGTGGCACCACTGAGCTAAATCCTCAGCCCAGCTAAATCTCTGGCCCAATAACACACTTTGCTGTCGCTGTCTCTCATCACCTCCTAATGGGTCCAGTTAGCTGCAGGGAAATAATCCCAGGCTCCAGCTGATTCTGCTTGATGGTGAGCTATATAATTATTTCATTGTATGTTACAACGTAACAATAACACAAATAAAGTGCACAGTAAATGTAATGTGCGTGAACTGTCTGTAAACTCCCCCAAGCACCCCCCAGTCTGTGGAAAAATTGTCTGCCATGAAACTGGTCTCTGGCACACCACAAAGGCTGGGGATGGTTTCTCTAGCAAGTTCTGTCACTGTTTCTGACATGCGCAGGCTCCCCTTGGTGACTGTTCTTCCTAACTGCAACCATAAACCATGCAGGCCTGCTCCGTGCATGGGAAGCACCTGGCTAAATCACAAATGCAAGGCTTGGTTTGATGCTGTGCACCAGGTAGGGGCTAGAATACAGAATGTTCCAGGGTCTGAACAACTGGATGGCTGGAATTGCAATTTAATCCAGTCTGTTGGAAGAACAAATGGATTTAATGGAAGAGGATCAATATCTCAGTTTCCACCATTTCATTAGTCCAGCTAGCTACGCTAGGCTGCTAAAAAAAAAAAAAGATGTGATCATAATCCAATATGGTCTAATGAAGATGGAGTTAATTTCTCTCTCCTATGAGCAATCTGAAGTGAATGTTCCTTGTTCTTTCTATGTAAGGTTTCCTGGCATAATGTCCTCGTCTACAAGATTTAAGCTGAGTTGCAAGAGGTAAGTGAAAAGAAACCATGGCAGAAGAAGTGTCTTCTGTCCACTCTCCCCCGACCCCTGGCTCTGGGAAGTTCTTTACTCATTACCCTCTGTGGCCATTACCTACTTCCTGCTGGTGCAGCCTTGGAGAGATTACCTTGAGGATTAAAGAGTCATGTGCTTTTGCTATAGGCCAGGGCTGTTTCTTTTGGCAATACAAATTCCTCAGAAACTTCATAGACTTCTGTTGTATTTGGCTCTTGGCTTCTCCATGCACAAATAGCCATACTCCTAACATCCTATCTAGACACAAATTTAAGCCTATAAACTGGTATTTTCTGGACTGACCCCTATGACCTACCCATCTCATCCTTTTCCCCTTAATTGAATGGTGGCTACTTGGAGACCATCTGAAATAGCAGATTCCAATGAGGTAGAGCCTTAACCCCTTCTTTGCCAGCAGGTGCCCAACCTTTCATGGCAGCATCATTATCTCTTTCTAAGCCCAGGCTCCCACTCCACAGTGACTGCTTATAACTGCTTCACTCTGAGTACAGAGCAGTGACTCTCAACTTAGTGTGAGGCTGAGGCAGGGAGGGCCTCCTTTTGTAACGCTCGGTGCTTTCCCTTCCTACTTGCAGCTTGGTGGGCTTTAACCTGCACCTCTTCTTCTTGTAAGTTTTGCTGAAAGCACAAAAGTGGCCAACGCAAAATGAGTATTTCACTACCCTGAATCTTTTTTGTCTGGTCCTCTAGGTCTACATTCTTTGTCACCATGCAGTCTGTCCTCCAAGGTACAGCAAACAACTGTTTGACCAAATGTTTTGCCAGCACCTAATTAGAGGTGCCAGCTTTCCAGGCTGTGACATCTGAGTTCCTGATACCTAATGACCACCTTGCTCCAGTTAACTGGCCACATGTTAATTGCCTCAACTGTGGGTCTCCACCATATTGCACATCCTTTGTGCTAACCTTGGCTAAGAAAGAGCCAGACACTGAACTTTTAAATGAAGATCTACGTGAGAAGAAGACCACTAAAATGGAGCAATTTTTATCTTAAAAAGAGAAAACTTGGAGATGTTTGTTGGCTAGTTTCCTTAAAGATATCAATAACATGAATCTCAATCATCTTTGGAGTCAATGCTCCTTCGTATTCTTTACATTTGCCCTGTTAATGTAACAGCATCATTGCTGGTTTAATTTGCCTTGAACATTCCCATGATACAGAGACATCCTGGCTTTATAAACTCATATTTTTCCCCTGGATATGTAAAAATTAGTCTTATGGCCATTAAGAGTAATTGTTTTTCTTTGGGCAGTGTGCTCCCTTGTCACTTTGATGCTCCCAGAAAGTAAACAGATGCATTTTTTTTTAAAATAGAGAGTATTTGTACTGAATTGCAATAAATCAGGGCCACTAACATATTGATTTAATAACATATTTTATGATCAGCAATGAAAAAGTGAATTTCTTCAAGAAGGTAGATCTATGTTAGTATTGTTAGATCTCAAAAAGATATTGTTGAGCGATATGTGTATGATACCATATATACATTTTATACAACACATAGAACAATGCTTAGGACCACGCCTTTCACACATGCCTTTAGGGGAACATTACAGACCAAACTACAGCAGTGAGGATTAATTTCTGCTTATTAGTTTTCTGCATTTTTCAAATTTCTCAAAAAAAGAGAGAGGAAGAAGGAAAAAAGAAAAGGAAAAATAGATAACGAATATTGAGTTTTGAACTGTATTCATTTTGGAGCACTCTTTTCACAGCATCTACGGACTACAGCATTCCTTGGCTTGTGGCCTCTTCCTCCATCTTCAGAGCCATCAACACCAGGCCAACTCCTTCTCAAATGACCACCTCCTGGTTCTTTTCTCTGCCTCACTCTTCTACTTATAGACCTTTGTGATTACACTGGGCCCAACCAGATGACTTAAGATGACCTCCTCATTTCAAGAGGAGTTGATCAGCAACTTAATTCCCTTTTGCTACATAATCTGCCATAGTCACAGGTTCCAGGAGTTAAAACATGGACATCTTTGGGAGGGCATTAGTCCACTTTCCATGGATCTTCTTGGGAATTTCTATGCCCTGCTCCATGTCACCAGCTCCAAATTCCAGCCCAGCCTCTGTGTATTTATTATTTGCTTTGTTTCCATCTCTCTTTTAATTCAGGTGCTCCTCTACTATTTTCTACAAAGTAATATTCCTCTTGTTTCCCATCTTCTCATCACTGTAGCTCTCTGTGATGCATTTTACCCCAAATAAACAAATCTGACAAACTAACCTTTAGAGTGTCTTGAATAAAATGAGCATTACATTACATGATTGTGTCATTAAGAGTTATTTTTAAGTAGCATTATTACTGTTCCCCTTTAAATATCATAAATAACTTTAGCCTGAGTGGAAGAAAATTAAATAAATATCAGCTGAACTTCCAGAATAAATATCAAACCAGGACAGCTTAAGGTTATTTTAGACTTTCGAGGACCATAGTAAATACTCCAAATCTATTCTTGGGTTAGCAGACTTTGTCATTTGAATCTCTTATCCCAAGACAAAACTTTAGTTGAAATGTCTGTCCCTGGAAACAGGCCCACCAAAATACTAGCTGATGTTTGTAAAAAATTAGCATTGCAGAAACACTGTTACATGGGTTTCCAAAAGTTTATAGTGGATTTGATTTTGATTGTGAGAATAATAGACAATTGTTCGCTAACCTCTTGGTCAAGAGAGAATTGGTGTGTCAAGTTGCATAAAGGACCTG